GTTATAAAAGTGAGTTACATAGTCCATAGTGTCGTATTTAGTGAGAAAACAGCAAAACACGGATCGGGAATCGATCTGTGCACGGATCAAAGTGCTCGAAATGGACTGCAGATAGCATATCTAGTCGTCTTATGCCTAGTCTAGCACAGAAATATAGTTTAGTCGCACTCTGCAAACGATAATTTGGCAGTTCACTTTTCGAACGGCCCTTATGCCTGTAAAAAAGTGAACTGCCAAATACGATGGAAAAGGCGGCCGTTCCAGAATCGGCCATATTAGCCTGACTAGACTGCATCCCGTCCGCTCTGCAAAGTTAACCAGGCTCAAGCGTGGGTAGTACTCAGGTGGGTGACCACTGGGGAAGTCCACGTGCTGATTCTTTTTGCACATCCATTTACACATCCTTGATTACGAAATTTTTTACCACATGGTGTCACACACAGGCTTGTTCGGGGATCGACTGGCCGGCGGCAATCGTCGCCGCGAGCTCGACGCATGCCAATATCTCCGCTTCTAGGCCTTCCCGCGCGACGCCACTTGGAGACAACACGTATAACATCAATACAAAACATATCCTAGCTTCATAGCGCGCGCGCCGACTCGGAATACCCGCAAATGTCGTACCAGCCTGTCTCAGGATGGCGGCACAGGCCTCGGCGAGCTCGACAAACCTCCATATCTTCACTACCAGGTCGTCCCACGTGACGCCACTTTCGGAGCACCTGTTTAACATCATTACAAAGCATATCCTAGCTCGGCTGCATGGGCGCCGATTCGGAAGACTCACAGACCCGTTTCGTTGAGTCAATCCCGTATGCAGCTCAGCATGCTCGATTGGTTGAAACTGCACTTGTAGAGATCGGATTGACGCCGGGTCGCGCTTGATTATCGCGTATGGCACTAGTACAAGCATGTGTGCGTCGTCACAATACGAAATTGCCGCCTACAGGCCAAATGCGACGCGATTTATCGGTCCCGGACATCAAAAAATCACTAATCGACGAATAAAAGCGTGTTCCGCCCCGAATCTTCGCAAGGTCGTTACATATATCGACGCAGCTCATTACCAGCAACATGAAGGTGGTCCCCGATGAAAAACGCTGTTTTCGGTTTTCCGCTTTTTGCTCGAGATATTGTATACCCCGGCTCTCGGCCCGCTCTGCATCTAGAAAGTACTTTTCACGGCGCATCTTTTTGGTCTCGACATCCGATCGCGTGAATCGGGCTAATTTTGACGCTACGACGCCATTTTGACGTCATGTATTTCTGCAAAGTTTCAAAGCTTAGCCAAATGAAGGTTAGGGCGCTCTCGTGCAGGGTCGTTCTTGCTCTAGGAAGTACTTTTCACGGCGCATCTTTTTGGTCTTGACACCCGATCGCTCAAATCGGACTCCTTCAGGCCCAAAATGACATATATAGGTTCTGAAAGGTCCGAAAACGGTATTTTGCCCATAACTCCTCCAAAAGTTAATATTTTCCAACTTCTGATAGCATTTTTGGATTCCCCGTGAAATTTTACATCTAGATGCATGACGATCTCGCATCCACGAGCAACTTGGTTTGGCGAACTAGACATCGGCCAACAAAGTGGCGACTCGATAATACGACGTAACTAGTCGACCATCCAGAAAGTGACTCCGCGAAGGCTTGAAACATGAAAAGATGCGCCTTAAAAAGTTATGCAGCCTGTGCAGTCGTGGCGCGCTCAAAGCTTTCTGGTTGCCGAGATACGAGCATTTCCGTTTTGGGCCATTTAGGGCCAACCGCTCGACAAACCTTCGATATCTGATGAACGATAAGGTTTCAGAGTCCGGGAACTAGTCAGTTGACTTCCCCTCGTCAATACAAGAATCGAGTGAAAAAAAAATTTTCCGTCGAGGAGTATCGAATTTCACCAAGTGCCCGCCCATACTGAAGCCAAGTCTAATCTGCGGGCGAGAATTCTTGGTGAATTTTTCCATCACTGTTTTACCTCGTACTTTGTGCCTGTAGCGTGTTTTGTAGTGTTTCTACCATTTGGGAACGTGTAGCTTTGTGCCTACCTTTATGGAGACCAAAGTGAAAATTCAAGTTGGTCAACTAAATGAAAAGACGATCCTGATAGGCGTAAAAAAATTTTTTTTTTTGCGTCTATAATTTCTTAGTCCTAGTAGGTGCTTGTGGCTCTGCCGCCGGCGCTGGACGGGTTAAGGAATAAAAATATGCCTGGGTTTCGGTAATCCAGGTAGAAAAGGGAACGATTTGTGATGTACTTTTACGCTTCGGTGTGACTGTTTAATTCATGATGAATTCGTGCTGCTCTGGTGTTTCTTGCGCGGTATCTCGGTACTGTTGCGGCTATATTCATCAGCACAAGGAAGGTTGGCATTGTAAACTGCCCGGGAGTTGCGCTAGCTTGCTGGTGTAATTTCTCGGGTGAGTTTCGCATTGCTAGCCTGGCAAAACAATTTCAGTAAAACGAATTTGTTGGCATCTCGGTTAGGCTGCAGTTGAAAGGCTGTAGCTCGAACCTTGATGCGAATTGGAAATCATTCTCGGGAAAATCAAAGCGGCTCCTCTCGGGGAGCTGCGGCGAAATTCTTTTCGTGCAATGAACTAGAACAGTAGAAGGACGGGTTGGGGCTTCCATTACCTCTTGGGATTCCTCGCTGCGGAAAGGTTTGAATTGCTGCAAATCGAA